TACTACGACTACTACTACTACTACTACTACTACTACTACTACTACTACTACTACTACTACTACTACGACTACTATTGCTGCTGCAGCTCCGACTACTACCACTACGACGGCGACTACGTCGACGACTACTGGTTCTACTGCTACTGCTGGTGCTACAGGCAATGCTACTAACAGCTGTGCTGGTCTTGGTGATTGTATTTCTTCTGCTTGCTTTCACTACCAGTGCCCCTACCACTACCACTGCCACTACAAATTAGTACCAAGGCCGATTCCAAGGCCAGTGCCATTGCCAATGCCAAGATCACTACCGCCACACAACTCTCGCCACCAGTGCCACTAATCAGGACTAACCAATTGGACAACACCGCTCTGACTCACTCGACCTGGCCAATTTGACTCCAACTCGTACTCCTACTCCTCCTGCTCCTACGTGGACGACTACTCCTGCGCACTCGTCCTCCTATTGGTAAGCACTCGCGGTCCATCCCTACTCTGAGTCGCAACTTGTCCTGCTCCTGCTGGGCCCACGCCTAGTCGCACTGGTTGCCTTTCGGGCGACCCTGCTCTCACCAGAGCGGGTGCATCCAGAGGTGCGTCAGCGACGGCGGCCCTCTCTGGGTTGGGGCCTGGGTAACGGGAGCGCTCGGGCGCAGCGGGGCACGGCCGGGGCAGGGGTGCACCGCGATCGCCGTGGTACGCGCGCGAGCACCGGCATGGGGGGGGAGGGCACAGCCCCCCTCCCACCCCCACGTACGATCGTCATCGTAACCCGTGTGACGGGGCAGGGTAGCGGCCGAGGCCAGAGAAGACAGCTAGATCTATCCCTGTCGCAGCTGCAGGGGATCTCAGATAAGGCGCGCGGCCTGCTGCTACAGACAGACCTAGGCCAGAAGAACACCCCTCAAGAACATGAGACCCTCCGCTGGCCAAAACGGACAGAGCATCTAAGGGCATCCTGACCAGGGTGCACAAGAACATCCAACAAACACGAAGAACACGAGGGTACCCTCCCCGAACCGACCTCGATCTTATACCTCGGTCCGGCTGTACGTGCAGTCTCCATTGATATGTCTGGACGGGGCATCACAGGAAACTTCCGAGCGAAAAAGCGTTCCTTGCTTTAGCACCTTTGACCGCGCGATTATATCCCCCAAACCTCCAGGGCCGGCGGCGTCGACCCTTGCAATGGGCAAACCTCACAAGCGAACTCCTGAACCGATCCTGTGGCCCCTTGGGAGCTTGTAAGCCGCTCCGGGCCTGGTATTTCCCAGCGATTTCGGAGAATTTCGATCTCTGGGAGCCTCGCATCAACGAGCCATCCTCTTCCCAGCGTTATCACTGCTCCTCCTGCTCTCTCCCCAACTTCCTCTTCCTCGTCCTGGTCCTCGTCCTCCTCTCCACCGCCTCCTCCTCCTCTCCTCCTCCTCCTCCTCCTCCTCCTCCTCCTCCTCCTCCTCCTCCTCCTCCTCCTCCTCCTCCTCCTCACCCCTGCACCTCTGGACACCGAGTGCAACATCCCGAAATCTCAAGAAACGTCCCGAAATTCCCCGAAAGCATGCAATCCCCTCCTCCTCCTCCTCCTCTTCCTCCTCCTCCTCCTCCAGCCAGAGCCCTCAGCGAGCCCGACGACACTACAGGGGCCACCCGCGCCAAGGCACCTCCTTCTCCTCCTCCTCCTCCTCCTCCTCCTCGGTCCTACCGAGTCCTCTCCAGTCCTCCTACCTCTCCTCCTCCTCCTCGTCCTCCTCTTCCTCCTCCTCCTCCTGGTGTAAGGCCATGCTGGGACGACACACGTGTCGAATTTTTACTGCGGGCCTCCTCGCCGGTCTGAACTACGATGCCGATACCCACGGAATTTCAGACTATGAACTCGCCTCCTCTCGTCGTGCCCTTGCCTCTCCCATTACTCGGATCTCTGAAGAAGTTTGGGGTTCTCAGGTGAGGTTGTCTGACCATGTTTTGTCGTTTGAGGTTCTGAGCCGAGCTTGGAAAACGGTGTTTTGCGACACGCCCCTTCCCACGTGGCGTCAAGTGAGGGGCCCCATTCAAGCTATGAGACTTTCTCTTCATAGGATCGGCTGGCACATGCCTGCCTGGCACACCTTAGTCAACGACTTTGGTGACCACATCCAGCTCACCTCGTGTCACCTGCGCTCGTGGCTGACCTTCTGTTCGAGGGAGTGATCAGGACGCACCAGAGGGCGGTGGGAGACAAGTTGGGGATGGGGAGGATGTGCTTCGATGTCGTGGCCTCAGAGACGCGACGCTGTGCCCGATCCCCGCTAGGTCGGGGATGTATCAGATTGCTCGCGTGTGACGGCACTTGGACTACGGAGCGTGCCATCGAGCGTGGCTATCAGCTTCCAGAAAATATTTGCCAACTTTGCTAAGCTGCTCCCGACAATTAATCCACCGACTCTGGCAGTGTCCGAGTGTCGACGAGCTCCGCCTGGAGGCGTGTGACGCGGACATTCATTTGAACTCCCGTCGTGTGCCAGCAGCTGGTAGTGATTTGAACAAGTGTTGTTTTCCAGGGGTGTGTTCCCTCACCCAGGGGACGTGTTGCCGAGACCCTGCGAGCAGGGTCGTATCGTCCATTTTTTGCCTGGAGCCCCATGTCCGAGCCCTGGTGCCATTGATGTTTGTGGAGATGTTTTCTGGGACGGTTCGTCCTTTAAGCATGTCATCAAGGAGCTGTCTAGGGCGGGCTGGGGTTTTGTCTCTGTGGACCCTCAAGGGGAAGTTATCGCCTCTCTCTCGGGTGCCGTCGGAAGGCCGTCCCCCCAGACCCCTCACGCCGGCGAGTACAGCGCCTACGCAGCTACTGCCCAATGCCTGAATGGGCCCACCACGGGCTATGCGGATTGCATAGGTGCGTCAGGGCCCATGTTTCTCCCAAGGCTGTGCGTTTTTCTCATAGAAAGAATATTCAGGCAGTGCGGTTTTCTCAGCCAGTGCTCACTGGAACGAGGCGCGCAAGGTCAAAGCGCACGTGGCAGACTCTGTAGACCTCTCTGCCACATATCGGTTTTTAATGCTAGGCAACGGTGAAGCTGACAGAGCTACGAAGTATGGAGTGCCATTACACCCGCAGGCCAATGCGGATGAGATGGCGCAGGTAGACAGAGTCGTCTCAGCTGCTCGTGCCGTTTGCCGAGTAGCCGCAGCAGTGCTCCCGAGCTGGCCGAAGCTCGATCTCATTGATGTCTCGCGAGCCAGTCCCATGCCTCCTGCGTCCTCCTCTGTGTCCTCCTTCGACCACCAATGGGACTGGCATCGCAGCGTGTGGCGTTGCATGTGCTGTATTCGTTTTCGTCGCTCCTCGGAGCGACCGCCTAGCAGTGGTTGCCGTGGCGAGCCTCCACCTGCTGCGCAAGATATGTCGAATTTGGGTCACCACAGGCTTGCCTTGCAGTGCAGTGACCAGTCTCCGCTCTTCGCCTGCGTCAGATGTAAAGCCTACACCTCTCGGGAGAGTAATTAGATTGTGCCGCCAGTGCGATCCGAACTGCACTGGCCGTAACGACCTCGATCGATGGCGGCTCATGACGCGTGGTCTTCACCCTAAGCTCAAAGGGGTTAGTGTGGAGCCCATGCCCGAGGTGGATGAGTAATCACTCTCCTCCTCCTTTTTCCTCCAGGTTACCTGCTGGGCAGCGTCAAGTGGAACAAATCCTCCTCCTCCTCCTCCTCCTCCTCCTCCTCCTCCTCCTCCTCCTCTCGCTCATACCGTGAGGACGCGGGCATACCTAGCTTGGCCTCCTCCTCTCTCTCGTCTCCACCTCCTCCTCGCCTTTGAGCACACATGCCCTGTGTACATCCGCGCTCAAAGCGAGGCAGTTGTTCAGCACGCTCCCTGACCTCCTATCTGGACCATCATCATCATCATCATCATCATCATCATCATCAGCAGCAGCAGCATCACCACCATCATCATCAGCATCATCAGCAGCATCACCATTTTCATTGCCCTCAGCATCATCATCATCATCATCAGCAGCATCATCATCATCAGCAGCATCAGCATCAGCATCAGCATCATCAGCATCATCATCAATATCAGCATTACCACATGCATCATCCATACGAGTAGCATTACTATTGCTATTGTTCATTAACACCGTTATTAAACATGATACGATTAGCATCCGTACTATTATGAGCTTTAGCATTCGTGAAAAAAACTCATTATGATAATCATTACCACGCTCATCCTCATCCTCACCCTCCTCCTCATCATCTTCTTCCGCATCCGCATACACAGCATCAGCATCATCAGCATCAGCACCAGCATCAGCATCATCAGCATCGTCATCATCGTCATCGCCATGGTCATCGTCATCATCATCATTATCACCATCATAAACAACACCATCATCAGGATCATCATCATAGTTATCACCATCACCACCATCATCGCCAGCAGCAGCACCAGCAACGCATCATCACCATCACCAACATCATCAACCGCGTCCTCCTTGTCCTCCTCCGTTATCATCGCCATCATTGTCATCAATATCATCATCGTCGTCGTCAACTGTGATCGTCATAACCATCATCATCATCACCAGTCAGCATCATCACCACCAGCAGCACCCTCATCCTCATCTTCCTCCAACTCATCATCATCGCCATCATCAACACCATCACCATCACATCACCATAACCATCCCCATAAGCAGCATATTCATCAACAACATCAACATCATCGTGGTCATCACCATCATAATCGTAATCGTCATCACATAACCATCATCAACACCATTGTCATCGTCGTCCTCATAACCATTCGCACCATGACCGCATCATCATCATAATCATCATCATCACCATCACCATCATCATCGTCATCATCATCAGATCACTATCATCACACAACCACCGCCGTCATCATCACCTCCACCATCCTCGTCCTCCTCCTCCTCCCCCTCCGCCCCTGTTCCTTTCAGCGTGCAGACTTCCGTGAGCCTCCCTTACGATACCGGCCCCTGCAGGAGGGCCTCCAGCGCCGGACGGGCCGGGCCTGGCAGCCCGCCGACCGCCACCAGCATCCCGCGCGCGAGAGTCATGGCAGCAACTGGGCGAAAGCGAGCGCAGGAGGACCTCTCGCGCGAGCGCGGGGGCCAAAGTGGCCTGATCCTCAAAAAAAGGCTGAGTGCACATCAGAGATCGCGCTCGCGCGCACATGTGCGCCCCCCTCCGGCCTCTCCGAGAGCTCCTGCCAGAGGGGCCTGTCAGCGTCATTGAAAGGAGAGACCTCAATGCCGTCCTTCTCCCTCCACCCCCTCCTCCTCCTCCTCCTCCTCCTCCTCCTCAATCTCCTCCTCCTCCTCCTCCTACTGCTCTTCCTCCTCCTCCTCCTCCTACTCCTCCTCCTTCAGCTCCTCCTCCTCCTCCTTTCCGTCTCCTTCCTTCTCCCCCTTGTCCTCATCCTCCTATTCCTTCTCCATTCCTTTTACTTATAGATAACTCCTCCCTGTCGCACCCCGAGGCCAATCGAAAGGGCGGGCCAGGCGTTTCGCATGAGACTTTCTCACCACGTATGACCCTGATGCTTTAACAGGTGACAGCAGCTTCACAGATGGAACGCGAGTGGTTTTCAATGTGGCTCTCGCCTTAGCGCCGCGCTCATTTCTTTTTTTACACCAAAGCCTGCAAAAGTCTATAGGATTGAGGGCGGGTCGTTTTCACAGTGTGCCTCTCGCCGTAGCGCCGCGCACAATAGTTTAAAACATGTTGCAAGAGTCTAACGGATCGAGGGCGGGTCGTTTTCAAAATGTAGCTCTCGCCTCAGCGCCGCGCACATTCCTTATAAAAAACGCAAGAGTTTAGCGGATTCAGGGCGGGTCGTTTTCAAAATGTCGCTCTGGTCGTGGCGCCGCGCACATTCGTTTTAAACACGTGCAAGAGCTTCACGGATTAAGGGCGGGTGGTTTTCATAAGGTGGCTCTCGCCTGAGCGGCGCGCACATTCGTTTTCAACATGTTGCAAAAGCTTCACGGATTGAGGACGGGTGGCTTTCAAAAGGTGGTTCTCGCCTGAGCGCCGCGCACACTAGTTTGAAACATGTTGCAAGAGTTTCACGGATCGAGGGCGGGTCGTTTTCAAAATGTAGCCCTGGCCGTAGCGCTGTGCACATTCGTTTTAAACACGTGCAAGATCTTCACGGATTAAGGGCGGGTGGTTTTCATAAGGTGGTTCTCGCCTGAGCGGCGCGCACATTCGTTCTCAACATGTTGCAAAAGCTTCACGGATTGAGGGCGGGTGGCTTTCGAAGGTTGTTCTCGCCTGAGCGTCGCGCACATTAGTTTTCAACATGTTGCAAGCAATTCGCGGATTGAAGGCGGGTGGCTTTCGAAATGTGGTTCTCGCCTGAGCGTCGCACACAATCGTTTTCAACATGTTGCGCGAGTTTAACGGATTGGGGGCGGCGTGTTTCCAAGATGTGCATCTCGCCTCACCGCAACGCCACGTACACTTGATTTTAACATGTGCGAACGCGTCACTGGCTTTCATGGTTAATGTACCAGAAACAAGTGTTGAAAGGATTCAGGGTTGTCGGGGTGCAACAGGTACGTTGATTTGAGGTGTTGCAGTCCCAGGAATGGTGTTCTGGCACGATTCAGGGTCGCCAAGACGTAACAGCAAGCTTAAATCGTGGCGTGGAAGTCCTGAATGGTGTGTCGGCAGACTTCGAGATGTTCACACGTTTGCCCCCCAACGAGGCACTTCCCTCAGTCGAGATGACCCCTTGTAGGGGCCTGTGATGAGGAATATTGGAGGAAGAGTATATTTCAACATCGATGCTGAATCTTGGGTTTGCACTGGTCCTCCTTCTCCGTCTCATCCCGTTCCTCCTCCTCCTTCTGTTCCTCCTCCTCCTGTTCCTTCTCCTCCTCGTCGTCCTCGCCCCCATCCTCTTCTTCCTCCTCCTCCTCCTCCTCCTCCTCCTCCTCATCGTCCGCCTCCTCCTCCTCTCCTCCTCCTCCTCCCCCTCATCCTCCGCCTCCGCCTCCTCTTCCTCTCATCATGGTCACCATCATCATCATCATCATCATCATCATCATCATCATCATCATCATCATCATCATCAGCGTCATCGTCAGCATCATCATCATCATCATCAGCATCATCATCATCAGCATCATCATCATCACCATCGCCATGCTCATCATCATCCTCATCACCAACAGCATCACAGCACCATCATCATCAACACCATATTCATCACCATCATCACCCTTTCATCATCAGACTTCCGCCTCGCCGTCATCCTCCCCATCATCAGCATCAGCAGCAGCATCAGCATCATACCCATCATCAAGAACCTCATCATCACCTTCCACATCACCACCACCATCATCATCAGCATCAGCATCATCAGCATCACAGACAATACAAACAGCATCATCAGCATTGCCATCAGCATCATCATCATCATCACCAGCATCAGCATCATACTCATCATCAGTCTCATCATTAACAGCATCATCAGTAGCATCATCATAATCATCCTGAGCAGCAGCATCATCATCAACATCAGCATCAGCACCATCATCATCGTCGGCAACGACATCATCAACATCACCACAGTCATCATCAGCATCAGCATCATCAACATTATAATCAGCATCATCCTCAACATCAGCAGCATCATATCCATCGTCGTCACCATCATCACCATCATCATCATCAACATCGTCGTCAGCAACAACATCCATCATCACCACCATCGTCATCCGCACCAGCACCATAACCACCAACAACACAATCATCATCAGTATCATCATCAGTATCATCATCTGCAGCATCATCATCTGCATCATCACCATCATAATCCGCCGACCCCTTGTGGGTCTCTAGGCGTGTGAGATAGTTCCCCTCCCCTATAGTCCCCCCCCAGGGACCCCAAACCGGAGATTTGACCCCCCCCCTGATGGCCCCCCCCCCCGGCCCGGCACGAGCGACTCACGGGGCTCTTTTGGGCCCAAAAGGGGCTCCAGACGAGCCAAGAAGGCCCCAAGAGGCCTCCAAAACGGCCCACGATGGCCCCGAGACGCCAAACGAGCGCTCCAAGACGCCCACGATGGTCCCAAGACGAGCCAAGAGGCCTCCAAGACGGCCCAAGAGGCCTCCAAGAGCAGTCCTCAGAAGGGCCGACGAGCCGAAAATCGTCAAATTCCTATGGTAAAACGTACATTTTGATCATTTCCGACTTGTCGGCCCTCACGGGGTTGAAGACGGGCCAAGAGCACCCCAAGACCGCCCCAAGACGGCCTCAGAAGCCCCCAAGAGGCGCCTAAGTCGGCCCAAGAGGGCGCCAAGACAGCTCAAGTGGCTCCCAAGACGGCCCAAGAGGGCCCCAAGACGGCCACAAGAGGGGCCCAAGAGGGGGAGCCCGAACCGACAATCCGAGCCTTCCGCCCCAAGACGGCCGTAGAAGGCCACAAGAGACCCCAAGAGGCCTCAAAGACGCCCCCAAGAGGCCCCAAGAGGCCCCCAAGAGGCTTCAAAACGGCCCCACAACGGCCCCCAACAGGCTTCGAAACTGCCTCCAAGATTCCCGCGAGAAGCCCCGCAAGAGATCCCAGCGATCACCGCACAAGCGGGACTCGCGCTCCCAAGGCTAAAAACCCATAATCCATGACCCAGATCATTTCCTCCGTGTCCCCCTCCTCCTCCTCCTCACCCGCCTTTTCCACCTCGGCCCCCCAGTGGATGAAAAACTGCTGTCCAGAGACCTCCGAAAGGCGTGCCGCCAAATCCCGATACACATACAAGAACCTCTCACACATAGACCATAACCCAGAGCCTCATCTCAGTGTCCCCCTCCTCCTCCTCCTCCTCCTCCCCCACCCTCTCCTCGGCCCACTCCTCCTCGTCCCCCTCCTCTTGTGAACCTGGCCCGCTTGACTTCGTCATTTTCGATGCTTCTCCCCTGTCTCCTCCGCCTCATCCCGCATTCCCCTGTCCCCGTTTTCCTTTTTCCCCCCAGTACGCGCGCCCGATTCGGCATCATTTGCAGGTGTTGCACTTCAGGGTGCCTTTCTTTGCGTCGCGCGGGACATTGTGCGGGTCGGGGAACGCCGACTTCGGTAGTCTTCTCTTGCACGCGCCTCTGCACTGATACGCCTGGCAACTGCGAGCTGTGAACCCGAGTTCCTTGCAGCCTCCGCACACCACTTTGGCTCCTTTCGTCTTTCGATGATGTTCCACTTGGTTAGGCGTCAAATGTCTCGTGTCCGAGAACGTTCCTCCGCACGCCGCGCACGTCAGCGGCTTCGCGTCCGCCTCGGCTTTCCGTTTCTTATTATTCGACTCGCGCGTCGCCCTATCTCGTTCTTCCGCGCATTTCCGACACAACCTCTCCCCTGCTGCTTTGTGCTTCTTCTGAGCTTCGGACACCCCCGCCTCCTCTTGGAACTCCGACAGGCAGTCGCTGTTCGAACACCGCAATGTGATCGCGCGTTTCCTGTTATTCGACACTAGCGTCGTCCTCTGACGTTCGGCGGCGCATTTCCGACACAACCTCTGGCCCGCTGCGTTCTGCTTCTTCTGAGCCTCCGACATATCCGCCTTTGCGTCATACAGCGACAGGCACTTACCGTTCGTACACCGCACCTTGCCGACGCTCTCGTCCCACTTCGCGTTGCCGCTCCGCGACTTCTGCTTGGCTTTGACATGGCTGCACTTCGCGCAATACATTGTCCGAACCCTTCTTGGCTCCCCGCCGCCGGCCGCTGCACCCCCACTCCGATCGCCACCGTGCCGCGTCGCATCGTCACCCTCCGCTCTCGTTGCCCACCCTCTGCACGTGGTGCACCATTTCTCGTCGGCGTTCTTCATCTCTTCCGTGCACTCTTTGCAGAACGCTGGCCTTTCCTTCCTCTGGAACTCGTACTTCGAGAACGCCTCTACCAGCAACCTCCGCCGGCAGCGCTCGCACTGGTCTCTTGGCATCAACTCCGCCTCCCACTCATCCCAATTCACGCTCTCCCCTCGCAGCACCTGCAACAATTTTTTCGTGCCCGCCATCTCACCCGCGTTGTACGGTCTCCTATCAAACGGCCTGAAAATCAACAAGTTCTCCCGTCTGCGCACGCGCGTGATGGCAACGTAACTGGACATCCAACTCACGCCGCGCCCTCTTTCCAGGTCCGCTATCACTGCAGCCATGGTCCGGCCCTGCGCAGAGTGCGCC